CAAACTGCAGAGCCTGTCAAAATATGCCAGGTTCTTTGACTTTGTGAGACTAAAGGCTGATCTCATCGGACTATATAGCTCACAAACAGTGAGGGATGGATGTAAATCCCCCGGACAGCTTCGCAGCTTTTTGGCCCAGAAGGATCTGATGCAGACTGTTCCTGAGGCAACAAAGTTACTCCAGCTGGTGCTCACTATACCGGCTACAACAGTGTCTGTGGAAAGGTCATTCTCTGCTTTGAAAAGTCTCAAAACATACAGTCGGAATCGGACTGACCGAGGACAACTTTCATCCCTGGCAATGATCGCCATTGAGACGGAGAGACTTCTAAAACTGAAAGAAGATAAGGAGGACTTTTACAACAAAGTCACGGAGATTTTTGTCCAGAAGGATAGACAAATGGACTTCATTTACAAGTAAATGTAAGACCATGCATACGAGTATGAATTGTGATGGCAAATTAAAAGCACACGGAGGGTGCAGAGGAAATGCGCTCTTTCTCTGAGCCGCTATAAATTGAACGTTCTTGCTTGTTATAAATATGAAAAACAACCAGTAGTCAATGTGCAAGCTGCCAATTGAATGGTGATTTAAGCTACTCTATTGGGATCATATATTTGTAAATCTGACTCTGAAAGAGTCAGTGCCTCACCAGCCACGAACCTCACCGCACGTCACTGGTCAATATTCCCTTGAGAGATAATTTGCTTCTCTTTTTAAATATGTTTTGTTTACTTTTCAGAATAAGAGTCCCCTCCACGGGATCAAATGGCTGAGGGTTGTGCTGGACGAAGGACACGTCGTGAGAAACCCTAATGCACAGATGAGTAAGGCTGTGCTGGACCTAAAAGCTCAGCGCCGCTGGATTTTGTCAGGTATACCTGCACTTTAAGAACACACACACACACACACAGATAGTCCAACATATGAAAACACAAACGTTCTTGACCTAATTAAGTACACACAGATACAGCCTCAGTATTAAGGCAATTACCAAATGTTTGTGTGTGTGTTCATTCTTCCATCCCACCAGGTACTCCTATCCAGAACAGTGTGAAGGACCTGTGGATGCTGCTGGCCTTCTTGCGTCTGAAGCCCTTCGATGCCAGAGAGTGGTGGAACAGAGTGATCCAGAGACCCGTCACTCAAGGAGACAGGGCCGGCCTGCAGTGCGTGCTCACTACCGTTATATTACACTCCTGCAATGTAGTAATAAGACTCCAGAGGGCGTTGTCTGTCTGAGTCAGTGTATCGAGCTTTCTAAGTTGTGACATACCAATGACATTGAAAAAGTCCTATGATAGTTGATCACATCGTACCACTTTGCTATTTTATGAGGGAGCTAGATGTGTTAACAAACTATAGTGATTCTCCAGTGCAGCACCCTGAGTGATGTTTCGATGTTAATAAACTCAGACTGTTGATAACTGTGCACATAGGAACCTTCAGACCCTGGTGAAGTGCATCACCCTGCGGCGGACCAAGGGCAGCAAGGTGAACGGGCGCCCCCTGGTGTCTCTGCCCGAGAAGAGAGTATGCGTGGAGCAGGTCGAGCTGAGCCAGTCGGAAAGAGAGGAGTACGAGCTGGCTCGCAGTGAGGGAAGAAATACCATCGCCAGGTGTGTGTCAGTGTACACGTGCAGCTACGTATTGGTGTATTTTCTTTACGTGATCATAACTGTGTTTGTGTAGATACGTGACTGAAGGGACAGTCTTGAGGAATTATGCTGACGTGTTGGCCATCCTGATGAGGCTTCGGCAGCACTGCTGCCACCCTGATCTGCTAGCAAAAACCTCCTCAGACCTGAGTAAGACCTGCGGCGTGATGTGAGACTAATGCAGTAACTGAATAATGTAGCGTACAGCTTCTGAAGCCCTTGAGTCACTTGATACGCAGACAGGCTTGCTGGAGATTTCTTGTGATTTTTTTTTTATTTTTTTTTTTTAGTTGAAAATATATATTCTACTTTTTGAGAATGAAATTCTGATGCCCAGGTTTCACTTTTGTGCAGCCAATCATGGATGTGTAAATTTACAGAGAGCATCTTCTCTTCACGCCCACACAGTCCTGAGAGGAGGTCTAATCAGCAGGAATGATTGAAAACACCTGTGAGTGCACCACGGGTGTGTAAAGAGTTTAATCTGTCGCTTCTGGTGGGCGGTGTGAGCACTTATATTCTAGGCCTTTCTAGACTTTTCATAGCAGGTGTAATAATTAACATTAACAGGTGCAAATGTTATAATTAACGATTTGCACCTGTTCCAGGCGCTGCTGTTGAGCGTGATTGCTCCGTTTACTGGGACACCTGAGTGAAGAGGAGCCCTTGTTGGTGTTATTGATTACAGCTTTGCTTTTGCAGCTGCTCTGACAAGTGAAAATCCCTGCTGTGCAAAAGCCCATCTCCCAATTCTTTTCATAATGTTTTTATTTCCGCCACCTTTTTCACACTCTACTGCTAATCGCCCCTTTTATGTCTCGTTCTCTCTTGCTTTCCTGTTTTTAAAAGAATATTCACTGCCTCAATGTAAAAAAGTTTACATTGAGGCCACTTATTACCGACCCTGTTTCATGAGCATGTAGTCTGGGCGGTGAATAAGTTGTCCCAACCCCACCATGAATGAAATATGTGTAATCCTAGAATATAAACGCGTCTATATACAACCCTCACGTTCCCAAAATGAAAGCGGTCATGACGTTTGTGTCCTCAATTGTAGCTGCAGCTCTGGCCTCGAAACACGTTCCAGAAATATTTTCTTTCCTCTGTGTTCATTTCCACATGTAAATTGATCAGATACTTTGTCTGTAGGCGCTGCAGCGACACCTGCGGAGATGCGAGAGCGTCTCATAGAGAAGCTGCGGTTTGTGTTGGCCAGCGGCTCTGATGAGGAGTGCTCTGTCTGTCTGGATTCGGTGAACCTGCCCGTCATTACACACTGCGCCCACGTCTACTGCCGGCCCTGCATTGCCCAGGTTATCGGCACTGAGCAGGTAATGTGCTGCCTGAAGCAGACACTGATCTGTAAGTGAATTGATATTTGACAACTTAAAAGGAGAGTTTTTCTATCTTTTCTCTCTGCTCTGTGTGTGCGTGTGTGTGTGTGTGCGTGCACGCACATAGGAAACAGCGCGCTGTCCTCTCTGTCGAAGTGAGATCAAGGCCAGTGAACTGGTGGAGTTTCCACAGGAGGAAATGGAGGAAGAGAAAAGTACAAACTCTGATAAGTGGAGGACAAGCTCAAAGGTACAGCTGCACATACTGAGGATGCAGAATTAACTGGGTGATAAAAGCACTGCTTTGTGACTCTTTCCCTAATTATTTATTGATGAGAATGTGCTGAAATGCTACTTTATTAGAGCCGTGTTCTTTCTCTGAAGTGAGTTGTTTTTTTTTATCGCTGCAGGTACAGGCGCTGATGGGAAACCTGCTCAGGCTGCGATGTGAAGACGGCAGCATTAAGTGTCTGGTCGTCTCTCAGTTTACACGCTTCCTCACCTTACTGGAGACTCCACTCAGGTAAAAACACACATTCACAGTAGTAGTTCAGGGTTTTTAGAGGTCTCGTAAGTATACTCTCAACAGCTATAGTGTGAGTTTGAGTTTCTACATTTCTCCTCAAGTAGATCATTTAGATGTAATTTAATTGTCCGTCTCTTGGCGCTATTGGCCTCCTTTCTCTTCACCAGAGAGCACGGTTTCAGTTTTGTGCGTTTTGATGGCACCTTGAGCCAAAAGAAGAGGACTCAGGTCATCCAGGAGTTCCAGAGCCCTGCAGCCGACGGCCCCGCCATCATGCTTCTGTCACTCAAAGCTGGAGGGGTGGGGCTTAACTTGACTGCCGCCTCCCATGTTTTCTTCATGGACCCTGTAAGTGCAGATTTTGAAATTGATCGCAAGTGTTTTCAGGAAGAAGGGGAATTCTTAACAGCATGTCCGCTTGTTATTGACTGTGTTTTAGGCATGGAATCCTGCAACAGAGGAACAGTGTATCGACCGCTGCCACCGTCTGGGACAGACGAGGAATGTTTTTGTCACCAAGGTCAGGAATCCATTACTAAAAATCACTGACTGGAACATTTTGCATGTATTTATATTGTGATTTTGTGTTGTCTGTTGCTGCAGTTCATTGTGAAAAGTTCAGTGGAGGAGAACATGGTGAAGATCCAGAGGGAGAAGCAGGACCTGGTGGAGAAGGCTTTTGGTTCCAAAAACACCGACAGGAAAACGTCTCGCATGGACGACATCAAAGCTCTGATGGAGCTGTAGACCTCTGACGAAGTGTTCCCATGTGAACACGTCAGTTCAGGTTCAAACAGGCGCCTGTGTTCTTGTTGGGTCCGACAGTTCACATCTGAAGGGCTGCAGAGATTTATTTTTTTTTTCGTCCACATTGTCAATTTTATGTTCATATTTTGAAAATTTTCATTTTATTGTATTTGTACTTTTGAACGGTTAAAGTTTTGATACTGATGCATTAACGGCACAAAACCACGATGTCATTGTTGGGATGCGTAGGAGCGGTTTGTCTTGATCATAAAAATGTCAACGCTGTGTTAAAACAGAGAAAAGCCCACCTGCTCTAGGAGCTCGAGTTGTCTATTTACAAAATGGACCAGCCGTGATGATTCAAATGTTCAGTATGTAGGATTTCTTTTGTTTTTTGCTGTCTCTTGATTAAAGAAATGCAGACTGCTGATATTGTACATTTGTAGCTTCTGTATTTAAACGGACACGGAGCAGCTTTCAGAACTTCAATGTCTGTTTAACCGGAAACCTGAAATTGAAGGGAAACATCCGTTTACTTAATCTAATCATTTAAGTGGTTACATTAAGTACTTCTGAAATGTGAGGATTTCCTGCTTTTATGTTATGAGTCAGACAAACCAGGATATTTAAAGATGTCACTTTGGGCCATTTTATGAGATCTCATTGACCAAACGATTAATTGAAGCCCTATAATCAATATTGCACAGAGAACAAAAACAAACTTGATACAGAAGTGATGGATAAAAGGTAATTCTTCAGTTTCTTTATTAGCGCTTCTACAAGGATGTACAGTTAACAGCTAGGTGACAGGACAGATCTGCATTAACTGATGTCACTACAGTTATGTTCCACTTCCACACTCAAGCAGGATTTTAGCGGGCCGAAAAGATTGAAAAAAAATCATTTTCTCTCAACCTTGCCAGCTTCTTGTCGGAGGAGTGTGTTGTTGCTGTTAGGAGCTATAGATAGTTTAGTTGCAGGTCACACAGCTGGAGTGAAGTAAAAGAGGCATTGGTAACAGGAAAGGAGGGACTCAACAAAGTTAAGATCGGTTGTGCTACTAGCAGCGGTTACAGTAAGTGAGGTTTTGTAAACGGTGAGCGGCAATAAGGCAGCTGGTAACACTACAGAAATGAAGTGACGAAACCGGTCATGACAAAGATGTACCGATGTGGATCTGGCAGGGACATTACATAACATGCAGGGGACAGATGCCTGGGGAGCGCACGGATTCCACACACACACACAAGACTATCAACAGCACCTCAGGATGTGGGTGGAAGTACTTCATCACTGACCCACTTTTTTTTTTTGTGCCATGCAAATACAACATAACAGGCCTTTGTCCTAATATTACAGAGCTGAAGTCACATGGAGCTGGTGAGTGTCAGAGGCACGGATAGGGAAGTTTACCTTCGTACTCTGGTGAGGTGAACACTCTAATTTAAGCGAGATTCTCATAACTGGCAGGGACTTTGAGAGGGAAATGAGCCAGTTGCTGCATATCTGCTTCAAACAGAGACTTATTGCAGGATGGGAGTTGTGGTAAAATCCAGAAACAACTTTGAAACTTAATGATTTCATTTTCTCATTTTCTGTTGTCGCTGAAAGTTTCCACAGGTTTAGGAAGACTCGGGATTATGAATCCATCTCCGTCAAATGCACGAGAACAGTCTGACATTTTGGGAAGTACGCGTAGTCGCCTTCTTCCCGAGAGTTGGATGAGAAGATTATACTATTCATGTTTATTGGCGATGTTAGATACGCAAATTAATCGTTCTTTTTGAACAAATGCTTTTATAGAGGAATGAGTTTACTTGATTTGCGGGAGTGACTCAAAAATGCTGCTGGCAGTAGCTGAATAATATTTAGTATCAATCTTCTCTTCTGACTCTCAGCAAGAAAGTGAAATGGTGTATTTCGTGAAATATCAAACTTTTCCTTTTGAGGGGAAAATTGAATGGCGAGTGTGCGCGTGGGAACTGTGTCAAACTTCCACTCTCATACACACTCACTGACGGGATGCAGAGAGCGAGGCTGAACGTTGGACAAAGGCATTCATCCAGTCGCCTGCTAGTCAAGCCCCTGCGATTGGCTGAGCAGTGCTTAAAATCTCCACCCACACAGAGCTTTGACTGGTGCTCTCTCCGTCCGTCACGCCGCCTCGCCTGCTCGCTACTTTAAGAAGGAGTCGAGCTTTCGTGCGATGTTGTCGAAGGAGTCGTCACCCATGTAGTCGATCTGGCCCGCTTCCCAGCGCTGCTTCCTCACCTCTGATGAAACCTTCTGTGGGGGAGGAGCTACGGGTGCCTGGTTCTCCCTCAAATCCTCGTGAAGCTTACCCTGCTTGACAGACAAGAGGCAGAGAATGAATGGATCATAACATGGGACTGGGGCAATACTTTATAAGGACTGGTTTCTCCACATTCGGCCATGCTCGGCCGAACGCTCTTTTTCTACAGGTTGAGACACAATCGGTGCATGCAGGGATTTCGTCAGGAGAGTCAAAGTGCAAACATGACATTTTGCGACACACTTTGCAGCCGATAAGAGTTTAGTTTCTGGATTCCTAGAGTAGAAGTACACTCAATAAGTCGATACAAATCAAGAGATAATGACAACGGAGCGGAGCATTAACAGAGAGTGCAGATGAAGTAGAATTTAAAAATATTTGATGTAACCGGTGTTTCTGGTACGTTTTCTTCCACAAAAAGAAAAGTTTGGTTTCAAAAGTTGAACTGCTAGACACAAGCTGTCTCATACTTCACTGCAAAGTCCAGTCTCACTGCATGTGCACTGAAGACTTTAAGTTTCTGTACACACAGATAAATGTGAAAACAGTATTCTGGTGTGATGAAGAAATTCTTCTTAAATACTTAAAGTTGCTAGTTCTGATGAATCACTGGCTTCATCAAATCAATACATTGATTACTGAATCTAAAATGTCCTTTTTCTCCACAGTTGTCCAAACTATAAGCAAAGCACATATTTGAGTGGAGGAGGACTTTAAAGCTTAACTATGTACATTCTGAAAGAAGAACTAACAAAACCTTCTTACACACAGGCGTTGTGGTGCCAACTGGTCTGGTATGACCAGTAACATTTGGCAGCTGAGTGGTAAGTTCAGTCAGGTTACTTAATGATGACGCCTTTAAAGCAACTGACTTTAGAGACTTCGGGGAAATTAGGGAAATTTGAATGCGTCACTATCATGCAACTGCCACTCTAGGCCACTGTTCAGCAAATTGTGTCTCGTCAAATAATTCAAAATAAGTCCTACATTTCAAGATTCACTTGGTATACAGATTGTTTTTTTTGTTTTTTTTAAACTTCAGCCAGAGCTCAGCCCAAGACTTCAAGACTTTCTCCATGACGGGCCGGTATAAACTTGTACACACAAGATGGCAATTGGGCAAAGTTGCAGGTTTCATTTTCTGACTCACTCTATTTCAGCACTGCCCTGTTACAACAGGCAGCGTGGCAACTTCCTGCTCCTCTGTTGAAAGCTGAACAGTTGTTGGAGGCGCGGCAGGCTGCAAGCTATTCGTGCAGTCAACAAACACTATGTTTGGCAACAGACTGGTGCTGAGGAATGTTCAACAAATCAAATTTTTCTTGTTATTGTGGGAACTAAAACGGGACGGTCCTCTTATCTGGAGTCATAAAAAGCTTCAATATATGGCACTTTCACCATAGTAGAGTTCACCTAGTAATTACACGTTTCGAAAAACAGTCGGGACAAAACGATTATGCAATAGGCTAAAAACACAATCGCACATCCTCGTTTATTTTTCCACACGTGCATAGTTGCCAAACTCACACGTACAACGGGACACACACACACACACACACACTCAAACATCGCAACAGCTGACGTACGTCCATGCTGGTGTCTACGAAGCCGCTGATGAATGGAGTTTCCCCGTATGCCTGTTGCAGTAAAGGCTGCACCGATTTGGCGTACAGCTGCCACCACATGAGCAGGTAGTCGGGATGCAGGTGGCACTGGTCAGGGGACAGGGAGTGGCCTTTGACCTCGCCCGTCTGAGCATCGTAGGAGTAGTTCCATGGCTTCACCTTTCCCAGGAAATGCACCACCTTGGCGTCCCGGCCGTACCTGTGAAAACACAGCGAGCAAAGTGAGAGGCAGGAAAGAGTGCGAGAGAAACTACACGAAAAATCCCTTTTTTTTTTTTTTTTTAACTCTACCAAAAACAGTTTGGCTAACCTGAAAATGAGTTTTAAACCTCTGTGATACTCTACAGTGCAGATTTAAATAAAACAAAGTATACAAGTGTAGCTACAGTAGCTCCTCTGTTTTGAGGCAGGTTGTAGAAGAACGTGTGTTGTCCCAGCAGCCTATTATTCAACACCCAGTCACACACACACACACACACACACACACACACACACACACACACACAC